AACCTCTGTGAGTTCAGCGGATTGTTCTGGATCCAAATAAAATAAAATAATGGAAAAATCCTAGTAAAGTGTAATTCGCGTGGCAGGGATGTGCAGTAGCAACAGGGAAGCCAGATGGCCCAGGGTCATCGTAAGTAATTCCTGGTGAATGATGTCGCCCCAATCAGAAGCAGAGAGGCCAGGAACAACAGGCCCATGCTCATTGCTGGGAAGAAACATTTTATAAGATGTGGGTTCTATTCTCAGATTTAATGCTTTCTGTATAATTACCTAATGGTTTTGTGTGTGTGTGTGTGCGTGTGTGTGTGTGTGTTTAGAGACAGTGTCTGGTTCTGTCCCCCAGGCTGGAGTGCAGTGGTGCAATCAGAGCTCACTGCAGCCTTGAACTTCTGGGCTCAAGCAATCTTCCGGCCTTGGCCTCCCGAGTAGCTGGGATTACAGGCTTGAGTCACCGTGCCTGGCCATATTTCCTCTGTATGTAAAGAGATGAGATGAGTTCAAGCCTTGGTAAGTTCCTAAGAACTTCGTGGAACCTTCGGAAAAAAGATCTTAGACTTCTCCAGAATCTTCTTAAGAGATTGAATGTTCCAGGTCTCCTTTCACACTTCCATGTCACATGCCGTTGCCAAATGAAGTAAGCTCCAAAGTCCTGTTACAAAATCCCAATTCAGAAAAAATAAAGAGCCCACAGACTGTAGTCACTTGCTGAACCCAACAGCACCTCTGAGAACTAGATCATTTGCAAAGATCTCAAAGAATGGCCTTTTTGGTAACCTTGTTCTTTTTTTTTTTAAGAGACGGTCTTGCTCTGTCATCCAGGCTGGAGTGCAGTGGCACGATCATAGCTCACTGTAACTTTGAATTTAAGCAATCCTCCTCCCACAGCCTCCTGCACAGCTGGGACTATGGGTACACGACACCATACCCTGCTAATTTTTAAATTTTTTTGTAGAGACAGGGTCTCGCTATGTTTCCCAGGCTGGTCTTGAACTCCTGGCTTCAAGTGATCCTCCGGCCTCAGCCTCCCAAAGTGCTGGGATGACAGGTGTGAGCCATCACGCCTGGCCGATAACCTTGTTCTTTTCCTCTAGAACTTCTTGGTCCATACCCCCATTCCCCAGTTCTTAATTTATATTCTGGTTAGAGGACACCAAACATATGCAGGGCAGACTTATAAAAATTGCGCCCTTGCTTCCCCTCCTAGAAATACACCCAATGGAAAAGGGTCCATGTGTCCATCAATAGCCATCTACAGGCATGGTCAAGGAGGTGTTATTTCTAATAGCCACAAACTGGAAACTCCAGATACTTATCCATAAGAGAATGAATGAATAAATATTGGTCTATTCACACAGGGGAGTTCTATTCAGCAATGAGAATGAGCTATCTACAATTTCACATAACAGTATGGAAGATTCTCCCAAACATGTTAAGGAGAGGAGCCAGACACAAAAGAGCACATACTGTCTGATTCCACTGACAGCAAGTTCGAAACCAGGCAAATGGAATCTACCGTGTTGGAGGGGTTGGTGACTCGAAGGAAGCGTGAGGGGTTACCCTGGGGGCTGGCTGTGCTGGCTTTGATCTGGCTGCTTCCATGAGCCTATTAACTTTGCAAAAATATGATTTTTTTGTGATTTATGTAGTTTTCTGTCGGTATATTATTCTTCAGTTAGAAGTTTGCATTGAAAAACTAGCCTAGAAAGAAGAAAAGACGGTTTTATTTCCTTCATATTAATATTCATAACAAAATTGCTATGAATTTTCCTTTAAAATATATGTGTTTCAATATATTCTTCACATGGACCTCTGAGATTTAAAGAGAAATGATAAGCTGGGCACAGTAGCTCTTGCCTGTAAGCCTAGCACTTTGGGAGTCCGAGGTGGGG